CTTAAAAGACTATGCAATCATTTATTTACACAAATTGAACAGATCATGAGTTACACTTGATTGTGGTTATTCCAATAATAGCGTCAGAGTTAACTGGCATAAAACTCGCGTCCGACTTTCAGTCCACATTACTCAGATTACTTATATAGAACAGTAAAAACATCAGTTCTGATGTTAACAACCAAACAATTTTACTGGCACTTTTAGCTTAAGTTTTGGCAAATTAAGATACAAGGAAAGGAGGAAAGTAAGATTAGTATGTTTACTCTTTTACTTTTATCAAAGTGTGGGTCAACCGGAACTGCATGTCTTTTCTGGGCTCAGGTTTCCTCATGACACGTCACTCCGAACACATCAGCTTTTACCATGACTTCTTAAGGCACCCTCGGGGTAGGAGCTGTCTCGCCTCCGATCAGTCAGGGAACTGATGTCGGCTCSCTTACCGGTCATTGGTGAACAGGTGTTTTTCCAGGTGACTTTGTGGGTACTGGTCCAAGGAACACACCACTAAATTTTGTTGATGTTCCGGATCACGATGCAGATACAGTAATTTTTTTCTTTTAATTCCAGCGAATCAGTAGTCATTACATCACACGCATGCCTGTATGAAACAGCAAGTACAAGTCGCAAGCTCACTGGGACTACACATCCCAGTGTGTCTACTATCACGAACGTTTTGATTATTCTGTTATCAACTACTCCTGGCGATGTTACACGCTGTCTGGAGACGTACAAAAAAAAATGTGATTCTCTTCACGTTGCGGGAATAAAAGGATACCGACAGTGGGAGGAGGGTCCTGCTGCAGCCGAGCCGAAGCTGGACTGTCCGTGGGAACAGCTGATCAACCTTGTGAGGTACACCTCCACATAAGAACTTTATTGTGTGATTGCTCTGAAGTTCGTGAGAGTGTTTGTGCTGAAAGCGCTCACATGCTGTATTTTGCTTCAATCACTTGCTTCAATAAAAAAAAAAAATAAAAATATTTAAAAAAAAAAACACTCGCTTCATGAGCCGACTGTACCAGGAAGCAGGGGAGACCGGGGAGAGTGGCAACAAGGGACGGTTGCAACACGTCGTTTTTCTCCAAAGAGAAACATGCTAGAGTGATGACACTCACACACTGTACATGCTCAGTTAGATGCCCCACCTTGAAAAGACAAAGTAAGCAGTTTAAAAAACTACTCCAGGATTTATTTGAAAAAAATTGTTTTTGAGGTACCAAAGTATTTTTTTTTGCCCAGCTTTATTTTTATTATATTGTTGTCACTGTTTTTGTGATCCAGCTCAAACTTATATGGTTTAAACAAGAGGTATGTTGACTTTTAATTAATATATCCAGATAAGCTTATTTAGCTAACACATGAGGTTTTATCATGGCTGAGATGAAGGGGGACTCCCCATATGATAAATCCATTTAAAAACAGAGCACATACAGATGATATTAAGATGTTGAAATTAAGTTTACACTTAAAAAGGTATTGTGTATTCATGTCAATTTTATAGTTCAAAACATAAAAGTGTTTAAGATGTATTTTCTGCAGTTGTTGTTTTCAACAATGGTTTTAAAATCCCAGTTTCTTTCAATGTAAATTTTGCATTGTGTAGGCGTACAGTGACAATAGGCAAAACAAAAGTTAATTGCCTCACAAATTATTCTATTATCCTTGTCTCAAAAAGTCAACTGTATTTTATATCAATTAGAGTCTTTGACATCTGTATGTAAGGCCTACTCATCAAGGTAAATCTATATTAATCATTTGATCAAAAAGAATAAATAAATAACACTGTAATATCATTATAACTTACAGTTTTTTTTATTAATTTAGCAATAATTTAATTATAAAAATAATAAAACTTTTATTTACAGTGAAATACTGTATATTGTATTAATAATATGTTCTGGTGACTTCGGACAAGAGTAGTGTCATRGTCAGTAAAAAACTTCAGAACAGTCTGCAGATATTATCATCATGGCTAAATGAATCTTGCTTAGCTCTTAACACAAAGAAAACCAAGTGTATTTGCTTTTCAATGAAGAAAACATCAATACAGTCCCTAAATATTCGAATCAATGGGGCACCTATTGAACAAGTATCACAAGAAAACTATTTAGGAATAATTTTGGATGCTCAGTTAAATTTTAGGAGCCACGTTCATAAAATTAGCAAAACTGTTCGATCACATATAAAATGTTTTACAGTAATCAGAAATTGCCTAACACCTCACTGTGCAGAGATGTTTTTAAACTCAACGATCCTCTCACATCTCTCCTATGGAGCTACTGTCTGGTCTCAAATGAGTAAAACTACACTCAAACCTTTAGCAAGTCTCTACAATCGGGCTTTAAAGGTTTTATATCAAAAGGCTATCAGATTCCATCATTGTCACATTTTGGCTAAATTTGGTATTTTGGATTTTACTAATTTTATAAATTATAATCTTTTAAAATTGATTTTTAAGTGTTTAAATGGATATGCACTGACACCACTGTGCCATCACATACAGAGATCGCAGGACAATAGCAGGTCTACTAGAGCAACTTCAGACGGAAATTGTAAGGTTCCCTTTTGAAGAACCACCTTTGCTCAAAGTGCTCTGTCCGTGAGAGGATCTGCAGTTTGGAACTCACTTCCTGTTGATTTAAAGTCCGTAACCAGTTTCATAACGTTCAAAAAACAAACAAAGCTCTGGTTACGTCAAAAACAGACCTGTATCCATTTTTTGATGTTTTTATGTTTCACTGATTGCTTTTAGATGCTGTCAATTTTTTTGTGCCATGTTTCAATGATTATCATTTTAATTTTATAGATGTATTTTTGAGAAAAGCCCATCTAGGGACAAGTGTTGCGAATTAGCTACTGCTATTGCACCATGACGCAAGCATGGGACTGCTGTCTTGTTCAGTTTGTCTATGTTGATGTGTGTCTGTCCCTATCAAATAAACTTAAATGAAATGAAATGTTGCAACCACCCCCAAACATTTTCAAATGTAAATTGTGAAGAAYGTACATGCTTTAATCATCTATAAATGGTTTTGACTATTAACAGACAGATGTAARTTTATTGTATTAAAATTTGGTTTGTCTAATTCAAACCCTCTCTGAGTAACAGAGTCAAATTCAAAATGTGTTGCAACTGTCCCTGGTCTCCACCACTTTATAAAGAGAGTCATACCATTAAAAACTCATAAAAGAGGATAAAACAGACGTTTTACATGGTGGAATGTGACTGATGAAAACKTAGGAGCTTAATCCAGGACCAGTTTAACGATGAATAACATCGGGTCTGACTTTTTTTTCCCCATTGGACTCCACCAGGAAGAAATATGCATACTGCCTGCTTAAATGTTCGCTACGTCAGAACTTATCCGTTAAATGTGTTTCCATCTCTGCTTTTGCGCATTAACTCCATTACAGAATGGGGGAAATTGGTCTTGGAGGAGGTTTGCACTCTCCGAGTGCTTCTAGTTAATGGATGCATTGACGGATTTAGTCGTCATGTACCGTAGATAATTCGGATGAAAGCATATTAATCTAACAGTGACCCAAGTCATCGCGGACTACTTCATAAACACAAACATGGCTGTGAAGGTGTGGGGAAAATAAGGGGGAAATGAGKAACTAGAAATAGACTCGTCATGATTATGACTTTTTTCTCGTAAAATTACGACTTTAATCTTGCAATATTACAACTTTAATCTCATAATATTATGACTTTATTCTCATAAAATTACGACTTTAATCTTGTAATAATAATTTTAAAAAATCTTGTCGTGTGGCCCTAATACTCCGTCATAGTTTACACACTTCACACACATCACCTCCTACGGACATTAACAGAATCTTGATCCTCAAAAATCCAATTGACCTGGTTATATTTAATTGTATTATTTTTTTATTTATTCACATCCTACAAGCTCTGACACGTAAAATAAATTTGAAGCTGAGTTTTCAAAAAAAAAARCTGCAAGATTTATTGCTAGGTCTGTCTACAAAACGGGGGAAATCTACATAATTTATGGACAAACCATACAACTTGACATGTAAACTGGCTGCTTCGGCTGCTCAAATTGTTTCCAGTGTGTACCCGGCTTTAGTCTGGGGTCTACCAAACCAGACAGGAGCCAAAATGCAGGCTTAGTAAAGATGCCCCTGAGACAGCAGGATGTAAGAARAAGGCAGGCAAAGCAAATGTAAAACACCATAACCAATACTGCAGGCTTTCCAGATCCAGACTAATAAACGCAAGAAACTTGAGAAATAAGGGCTGAAAGAGGAAATAGAGAAGTTATGAAAAGTAAAGGCCTCAGTAGTCATTGGAGCACTTGGTTCTGAGGTCYTCAAACTGAAAAAGTGACTCCAACAGATACCAGAAACAACCTCAGACATCTCTGTCTAGAGGAGCACAGTTCTAGGAATGGTTAAAATACTGCACAGTTAACCTCAAGCTCCCAGGCCTCTGGTGGACSACCCAGTTTAAAGTGAAGTGAAACCAACCATGTGGAAAAATAAAGTGTGCTCAGAAATTTTTATTTAATTTATGTATTTTTTTGGGGGGGGGGGGCAAAAAACGGTCCACATAAATACAAAACATTGTCTGATTTCTTCAGGTAAAATATTATTTTAAATATAAGCCCCAACAATACACTCCTACTGAAATTTTGTACCTGATTAAGTGAACGTTAGATTCAGTGTATTATTTTATATTTTCTGATCATTGTAAGATTAAAGCAGACAAAGAGCTGGTGTGTGTCTTTTTATGTGTTCCTTATTTTAGCCTAAACAAAAATGAGTTACGTTCTACATCTGATGTAAAAGGTAACACCTCCAGGGGTGTAACCAGGAAGAGAAATACATTATAAGGTCAATTCATTATAAGGAGAAGGAGAAGTTGTTAGTGTTTTGCAAAGTCTCTGCTTAGAGCAGCGCTGCTGTGTTTTGTTTWGGCTTAGCTCAAGGTCTTAAGCTGAGGCCTGCTAGGGGCTGTACTGTGAACCTGATTGGAGTCAGAAGATTGAGAATAAAGTTTTAAGAAGAAATCCAGTGGATTCCTGTTTTATTCAGACATAACGTTTTGAACAACACATTTTTTTCTACACTACAAATGGTCACTAACCACATCTCTGAGCTGCTGCAGAAGCTGCAGAATATCCCCAAGCTTTTCTTCAACCAGAGACAGACGGACCCTCTCTGTCTCCAGCATCTGCAGCTCCATGTGAAGCAGCTCTGTCTCCTCAGCTTTCTGCTGCAGCTCCTGCATAAGGAGGTCCTTCATCTGCAAGAAAAAAAAAACAGACAAAAAATGTTTTAACACAGTGGTAAACATTCCCCTGTCCCAGCTCACAGTGATTGTGATGGAGGTCAGTGATTGCGATGGGGGTCAGTAGGSGGTTTCTACCTGGTCCATGTTCATTTCGGCCTGGTTTTCCTTCAGTTCCAGCTGCCTGTGCAACCTGGTCACCCTCTCCAGGAGCTCCACCACAGCACTGTGGCTCTCTGCACTTCTTGAACTGTCGAAGTTAGACATTAGCTTCTTGTATGCTTTGTCATCACACCTGGTTGAGAACACATCAGAACACAGATGTTTTATAAGACTTATGTGATGTGAAGATACTACATCTGGAATAAAAAACAGGCAGTTTGTATGGTTACTAATTTAAATTCTGTGTTCCAATATCTTAGCAGACATGACTAATATTTTTTCTACCTGATTGTCTGCATTTGGGTCTATTTTTATCATACTCCACAACACGGACTTAGTTTGAAGTAAAAAAAATCATGTTTCTTATTTGTTGCAGACAGCAGAACATTTGCAATAGAAAAAAAAACTTTCAACACTGGTGAAAATGAACAATAGTTTTTAACACTAGCTACTACTGGAGACCCCAATATTCACAGAGGAGGCTCCAAAATATTTTTAAATATTCACAAGTTTCTCATGGGAGTCCATTGTTTACCCCAACTCTGTTTGCGTAAACAAGAAAGCAAACAAACCCCCAGATAGAAGCTATTTCATAGTTTGATCATATTAGGCAGTGTGTAGAGCTGGTTTGTTCACATATGACACATCACTTGTTTTTACTAGAGGAGGGTCACATTTCTCAGGCTCCCTGGGAAGGAGAGTTTTACAAGTCAAAMCTTTGTTTGAGGAGGAGCAATGCAGCCTTTGGCCTCACACAGTTTGTCCACAAAACAAGTGTCCATGATGTTGTTTTCCTTCTTCAGCTCTGGRTTTGACCCACAGTAAGCGGGCTTGTTTATAAGTTGTATCTTTGTGTATTTGCATCATGCACAATCAATGTGGTCACAAAATCAATGCTWCATGTGCTCATCTGTTGAGAGGTTTGATGGATCTTAGTGGAAATATGTCATAAATTACAGCAGAGGCAAAATGGATGCACAAAGAATGAACAAGTATGTTTCTGGTCATAGTCAATGGGAGGAGGTGTACAGTTTGGATGGTTTTGGACTTCATCYCTGTTTTTTGTGACTTATTGTGGTGTTGGCCACACAGAAATCAGACTTCCAGCAGGCACTGGAGAAGTTTGAGCCAAGTAGCTCAGATGAAGAGCAGCACCTCTAGGTCAAAGATTAGTTTTACCATAAATAAAACTAAACCATGCTTCTCAACCTAATATGGGTTCAATGCCAAGTCTGGGTTGAGAAGGACCCCCTGCCTCAAGTGTAGGATTTCAAGTACCTTTAGGTCCGTTTAACACATGATGACAAATTTATGGATGGATGGATGGATGGATGGATGGATGGATGGATGGATGGATGGATGGATTAATGGATGGTTGATATCTAAGGTGCTCTGTAAGAATTAGTTTGACAGTTTTGTTGTGCTCTGTCTACGCTGCATTTTATCACCAGGGTTTATAAAAATAGTAAATGAAGCCATGTTTTAGATGTTGGTTACAGTTATTAGATTTCATAACAGAAGTATTGTACCTTTCACTACAGCCTGACAGTCTGGTCAGGATCCTCTTCACCTCATCCACCTGCTTCTGTTGGTCTCCAGTCCACTTGTCCTCTTCTTCATCAGAGGCTGCCTGGCCCTCCACCGACCGAAACAGCTGCTCCTCCACTGAACAACACAACAATGCACCAATCCCTATTGTTACCTTTTAAGCAGACATGTCTCCTCACATCAGGTCAGAGCTCTAGACATCATGCATTTTATTGYATACTCCTGTTTTTATACAGTAAAAGAGCAGAAAAATAGACATATTAGCTTCAGCAGTGAGGTTAATAAAGTTATTAATGAAGATTTGAAGTTCTGCAGCAGACAAAGCTAAATGCTACATGCTAATAGCATCTATTATAGCATATAGCAGATGATCAGATGTTTTGACTGAGTTTTTTTATTTGTGATTGTAATGGTTGCTGTAAATATCAGGGATTTTAATTAAATTTTAAGCAGCAAATCTTTGAAACTAAACTAAATAGTGTCCCATGTGTTAACATGTTCGTTAACATATACTTGAATCRAACCACTTCATCAGTCTCTGTAGCTCCCTGACAGTAAAATCTGTATCAGCCAGTTGGTTTTCTACAAATAAAATTAAACWCTAAAACAATCTGTCCTTTAGGAGGATTGCTTTTTGTTAAGCAGCTGTTCGACAGCATCAGATCAAAAAATGTTTAAAATGATTTTAATTTACAAAGATTATTTTCTGTCTCGCTGGTTAATGATGCGTTCCACCAACAATATTAGAACCAAATCTGTGGAGACTTCATGAGCAACATAGCTAACAGCTTCATAAAACACATTGGGACTGAGGCTAACAGAAAAAAAATGAAGTCAGAGTGGAAGATTTCTGGCTCTGCACCATCAGTTCAGCTGTGCCTCAACCATGTCCACTCTGACCCTGATGAGACCACATCCGCTCATGTCCCGAGCCATACAGACATCCCACCCTCCTTTGACCCACAGCTTTCCTGTCAAACCTCAGATGTTTTATCTTCAGCCTCAGTCATGGACTCTTCTGCTTCCACAAGTTTGTCTTCAGCCAAATCTGCTCCCTTTGCCTCCTCCTCCCACTTTTCTGTATCTAGAAGTCAGGTGAAGAGGCAGCTAGAGAGACTGAACCAGAACAAGACTGCAGGTCCAGATGGTGTCAGCCCCAGAGTCCTGAAGGCCTGTGCAGACCATCTCTGTGGGATTCTGCAACACCTCTTCAACCTTAGCTTGACCCAAGAGAAGGTGTCAGTGTTGTGGAAGACATCCTGTCTGGTTCCAGTACCAAAGAAAACTCACCCATCAGCCCTCAATGACTATAGACCTGTTGCCCTGACATCCCACATCATGAAGGTCCTAGACCTAGAAAGACTCTTGTTGACCCACCTGAGTAAGCAAACAAGCACACATCAGGACCCCCTGCAGTTTGCTTACTGCCGTGGAGTTGGAGTTGAAGATGCCAACATAGACCTGCTTCAACAAACCCACTGTCATCTGGACAAAGCAGGCAGCACTGTGAGGATCATGAGACTGAAGGACTGTGTGTCTAACCAGGTGGTCAGCAGCACAGGAGCACCACAGGGAACTGTACTCTCACCATTCATTTTCACACTGTACACTTCAGACTTCCAGCACAAGTCAGACTGCTGTCATCTACAGAAATACTCAGATGACTCTGCAGTTGTTGGGTGTATCAGAGATGGACAGGAAGCTGAGTACAGAGAGCTGGTGGACCACTTTGTGACATGGTGTGGGAACAATCATCTCAGCTTGTATGTGAACAAAACAAAGGAGATGATTGTAGATTTCAGGAGAAACCGTGTTAGATCAAACCCTGTTTCCATCATGGGAGAAGAAGTAGAGGTGGTTGAGGAATATAAATACCTCGATGTTCATCTGGACAACAGACTGGACTGGAGACTTAAGCTTTGGCAGAGTGATTAGGGGAGTTGTCTTGGAACCWGTGGGTTGCCGATTCGATCCCCCATCCATCTGTCTCAGTTGCTGTGTCCTTGGGCAAGACCCTTCACCCCTAATGCCTCTGATGTGTGTCCCATCAGTGTATGAATGTGATTGGCACTGATTAGTCTCCATAGATGATTTGTATATGTTAGCTTTGTAGAGATCTAATAGAGTGCTGTGTGAATGGGTAAATGAGGAYRCAGATTGTAGTGTGAAGTGCTTTGAGTGTCCTGGTTGGACAGGAAGGCACTATATAATAAAACAATCTATTTACCATTTACAATTGAATTGAATGCTTCAAAAAGCAGATGTAAGACTGATGAGCAGGATGTGGAATATTTCAGCCCATGGAGAGCGTTGACTGCTGCAGCTGTGTGGAGACAGCTTTGCTACAACTTTCTTGGAGTTCAAAAAGAAAAAAATAAGTAGGTCCTCTGGAGGGGTTCCTCTTTAGTGAAACGTTTCATCTTTCCTCCAAGAGACTTCTTCAATCTGATGAGTTTCAGGTGAAACTCAGCCTTATAAGCCCTGCCTCCACCTGGACAAACAAGTTAGTCACATGCAAAAGAGGCTTATAAGTGCTTATAAGGCTGAGTTTCACCTGAAACTCATCAGATTGAAGAAGTCTCTTGGAGGAGAGACGAAACATTTCACTAAAGAAGAACCCATCCAGAGTACCTACTTATTTTTTCTTTTTAATTTTTTTCTACCTGGATTACTGAGATGCATCAAGACACTTTCTTGGTGTTCTGCCAACACCATCTGGGTGTGRTGGGTTGCAGCCTGAACATAAGGCCTGCTTTTCTTTAAATGCAAACCAATCCAGTGTTCTGACACACTGMTACTGCTGCCACCATGCTCCACCCACTTCCTCAATATGATGCTGCTATCATGATAAAAAAAAAAAACACTTTACACAGATTTCATGCAAGCTGAGCACTCCATGACTTTTCACCTTTCAACATGAGTAATGGAGGAGCCCACCTCAACACACCCGTGAAGGATGAGATTTTACAATGTTGGGTTTTTTCCTGCTGTGAAGGGAGCCAAAGCACAGACATGGCCAATGTTATTCCTAGTTTTCAGGTTAAAAAAAAACAAAAAAACAAAAACAAAACTCACTCTTGTCCAGGGTGGTTATGGTGCACCCTGTAGGGGAACAACGGTCATGTTGAGAATCCAAGCAGCATCTCGGGCCCCTGCTGCTAACACAAGGCTGCTGCTCTGACCCAGTGCTGCTGGACAGCTGAAGTTTGGACACTTCTGACCTGAAAAAGAAYACTGTGTACTCAGAACAACATTCAGTTTAGTTTAGTTTCATTCATTTTACTTATAAAGCACCAGTTCACAACAAAGTCATCTCAGGACACTGTGAACATAAACATTCACCTACAACCCTAGTTCCTATGAAGTTGGGATGTTGTTTAAAAAAATAATTAAAAGTAGAATACAATGATTTTCAAATCCTTTTCAACCTACATTCAATTGAACCTACAAGGACATTATATTTAATGTTCAAACAGCTCAACTTTATTGTTTTCATTTTTTGCAAATATTCCCTCATTTTGAATTTTTTTTCCTGCAACATGTTCAAAAAAATCTGGGACAGGAGCAACAAAAGACTGGGAAAATTGTGGAATGCTTAAAGTGATCCACGATTATTTGTAACATTAGACATTATTTGATTAAAAACATTTTAAC